GCAACGCTGCGGTAATAGAGTTCTCTGCTAAGCTTCGGAAAAGGTCAAAATCATGAATAATGGTTATGCGTAAGTGTATTGAAGTGGACATGGGGCTGTTCAGGTGGGTCAGCAAAGGTCTTGGGTTGTAGACAAAATGGACGTGTGACTTTTAGATAGAATTCAGTCATGTTTGCCCTTTAAAGAACTCCACCAGGTCCTGTGTATTACAATAGACCAATGAGAAGTAAGTGTGGGTTTATTAAACATTTTAGGAAAGGATGCATGCTGGGAGGGCAGCAACAGCTGTTGCCTCACAGCAGTGGCTCTCAATTATTTTCTGTCATGCCCCCCCCTTTGGAGACAGAAGTGTTTTCACCCCCCCCCGCCCCCATCAAACCCACACCCCCATGAATTGAAATACTTTTGAGAACCTGATAGTGACTGGAGGCTTGTTATCCTTCAAGCATTACAGCACTGGTACCCTTAGGTCCAGCATGCCATATTCCACTGGAAGTCCATCATGTCCCCCCGTCCCCCCTGGCACCTCACCACCCTCCACCTGTCAAATAGTAACACAAATACTTTCAGGAAAGTTCAGGAAATGTTTTGTAAAATGACATTCATTAAATATAAAGATATATCCAATATTTTTGTACCCATTTGCATTTGGAATCAATGGGGAAAAACACTGTTATTGTTATTTATAGATAATTATGTTATGATTGTACTGGTTGACATTGACATCTACATCTAGGGTTGTATAAAGCCCCCTGAACCAAAGTCAGTTTGACACTATGGATATACGTATAGTAATATATATATTTATGTTTAAAAAGGGGGTTAAATAAAGAACTCATTGGTGTAAATCCAATACTTTTTAGTACTGGGAAGCAGGCAGATGTTGTATGAAAGGGATGGTTGTCTTTAATCGAATTTACAGTATGTGGTCAGCCAGAACCAGAACCAGAGCCAGAACCAGAGTTTTGGACGGCAGATAAATCCTCACATAACAGTCTAATTCAGAGAGCAAATTGGTGATAATGAGTCATTTATCCTTCACTGTTTCTACCGTTGCCTCCTGGAGCCCAGAAGAAATGATTAGCATCAGATCATTTCCAGCCTCCGTCTGAATTACGTGTTTGATGTGTTTGATGTGCTGCCATCGTCATTAAACCAATGGGAGGCAGAACCTGGAGTAACGGGACACCATGTTTGTCCAATATGTCCAGTGATAAGTCAGTGAGTGACCACAGCTCTGGATCCCCTCCAGTAGAAGCAACATTGTAAGTTTTGTTTTGAGGGTTCGGGGGGTGGAGGGTGAGTGTCGGGGGGAGGGGGGGTAGCAGATGGTTAAAGCTTCATTCACAGCACCTCGGTCCAGGCCCAGGTGACAATTTATGATTTAAGATGGAGTTCCCTTGCATGTTGAGGTTATCAGGGGGAGGATTAATGGCAGGGAGTGGGATATATTACAGTGGAGCTACTCAGTGAAACCATGTTGCAAGGCCATTCATAAATCATAACAGCAAAGTGACTTGGACAAGCTGATGGCTGGAATGCCGGCGCCTGCGTAGTCCTAATATCGACTTTTCTCTTTGCTTCCTTAAATCATGAGGTGTGGAATATAAATGGCCTAATTATTCCAGCGGGGAGTTAAAATTAAAGGCATTCCCCCTTTTTATCGCTGCTTCCTAACAGATGGCATTCTGATCATGCTTCACCAAATCTGATGGAAGACTGAAAATCTAGATTCAACCCACACCCCCCCTTGAGCCCCACCCCCCCGGAAAATCCATTCTTATAATTGTGACAGTTGAGGGAGAAAAAGCGATTGTCATAATATAAAAGTCGGTTCCAAATAAAACGAGGCTGCCGATAAAGAAGAAACCTTGAAGTCATCAGTCAGAGCTGGAGGTTTATGAATAACTTCATCTCCTCCATGTCAGACCTTCCAAAGTTGATGTG